CCATGAATTTCAGCGTAATTCTCGAGAAAATTCTTCACGGCGGTAGCAATGGTTATATCAATAGTTATCTTAGTTTTCCATCGCGGTATTCGTTTCATGTTACCATGAACGCGTGGTATTATACCATTCGTTGCTAGGTGATTTCTGACGTTTTCGAAGTGCGTACGGCCAATTCCTAACATATTGAGATACGTTTTTTGACAGAGAGGCGTATTGCGATCACAATAATAAAAAGTTCTTTTATTAGTACGCGTTTTCTTTTTAAGACGTCGACTGGCAGTTATTTCCCCACCATTCATTGCTTTCAACTGAGCCATTAAAAATATATCTTGTTCAGATCTAGAGAGAGCTTGAAACGCCTCACGTAATTCAGCAAACCCTTCCCTCGGAATCTTTTTTGAGCAACCACAATGACAACCTATCTCCAAGAAACGTATTGCTTTTTCATATTCGGTTAAACCGTTGTAATTATAATTTTCCATATACGGGTAATCCTATATATAAATTTTATGATTTTTTAGTTTGTTTTTCAATGCATAAAATAGTTACTGACCTATATCGCTCGAAGATTTCATCAGGAATAATAACAATTACAGCATATTAAGTAGGACAGCAAAAAGAATTCACGCTCAAAATCTCGTGCACCCACTCATTTGAGAGAATGAATCTCAAAAAAACCAAATAACGTTGGATTTGTCCCACTTGTAAGGTAGTAAAAATGAATCACATGATTAGATCTCTTTATTATTCCTGTGACACGAGAGATCATATACACAAGCATCATCCATAGTATTAATACATTTCTTTAACAAACTCTCATCAACTATGCTTTTTATCAGTTCCCCCACTAACTTAAACCCTTATTCTGCTTCAGAGTTGCCATCTTCGTCATTCTCATCCATTGCTATGGATTGCCAGGGTTTCTTTGTGTTGTAAATGTGAGGACTCATTCTTGTGATTAGTCCCTTTTGGGCTTCTGTACTCTGAAGATTACGAGGTTCTGCCCATGTTTTCAACATTATTTTTAGGAGTTCTGTGATATCTGAAGTGGGTGTGGGTTGTACAATTGCAGCAGATGAGGTTGCTTCCCTAGCTTGTGCCAAGTCTGGGAAAATGCCATAAATTTCACGTGACAAGCCAAACAACGCAATGGCTGTCTGGTAATGTATACGACTCGTAGTAGCATCTGATCTAGAACGCTTTGAAAGATTCACTGATCCAATATCAGTTGCATGATCCTTCAATTTTCTCTTTGTATTTGCCCTTGTTCTAGGCTTTGTTGAAGCCTCTGGTTGTTCAAGTTCTTCCAAATTCTTCTTGATGTTTCTTGTGATGTAATCAGGACTGGGAATATCAAATGATGCTTTTGGTGTTCCTAGTTGCATGTAAAGAGCAATAAATGGGTTTGTTGCAACTTCCTCAATACCAGCATTATCTGGAGAAAGTAATGATGTTGCTGTCATTGGATAACTAGGATCATTTCCGCTTTGATAATTTTTAACTTGGATCAAGACATATGTTACATGATCATGAGAAAATTCCTCATCCTCACCAATATTGATCAACAATGGCAGTATTAAGTCCATACCAACTTGATTTCTCTTGCAAATTACTACGGCACCACGTCAAAAGAACTCGAGAAGCTGTTTTGGAGATGGCGTATATGTAACACGAATAAAATGGGTGAACCTAATTCTTGCAGTTTGTAATTCCGAGGAAAGTTTGTCTTGAAGTGCCTGCCAAACTGTTGAAGAAAAGAGGGCTTGGAAATATTGCTGCAATGTCATTGGACGTGAGAACATATTTGCTTCCTTCGTGTAACCATGCTCAACACAGGCTTTATCCCACGCCATTGTCAAGATCAATCGGGCAACTAACTCTCCCCTGTATCCACCTTCGACTGATCCTTCTCGGAGAGCACCAATGAGTGCGTGAACATAGTGTACTAACCCGATTTTATTAGTATTGTTTGTTATACGAGCTGATGCTTCTGCTAGTACTGGATCCGATGGATAATCGATCATAACTGACTCACGGGTATCAGATATGTAGTAGCACAAGCTCATATAACTAGCAACGAGATCCGCGGCCAATTCAGTCTGGGGCACAACATCGATACACAATCGTGGTCCAAGGACTGCAACAGATTCTGATATTGTTATTTTCTCATTATATTTCTTCGTAATCCAATCTTCAAGGTCAAGACCTCCAATCAACTTGCTTTTCGCTATTTCTAGTATCTTTTCAGGCCTTAACACTTGCTTACTTGTGTAAGCATCTGTAGCTTTGAGTAATCCACCCCAAAGAGGCCGCCCATAATGAAAGAAGTACTGCGGTAATGCCACTTGCTTTAACGTCTTTGGTTCTGTTTCTTGTGTCATGAAAGTGTCCAATGTGGCAATATAATAAAACGGCGGATACAGGGCTAATCTGTTCTTCTGAACGCGCCAAGAAGGGTCACGACGAGCTGATGGAGCAAAGTTTGATATTTTTGATGCTGTATCAGTGACGATAGCAAATGCACGGCCTCCTGATTCGTACGTAGGTAGGGTAGCTAGTGCATGTCATAAACATTCGAAATTTGTTTTGTCACAGTTTGTTTCTCCTTCAGTCAATATTTTGGCTTCATCGAATACAAATAATAATTGTATTCCGCTTTCTGGTTCATCACTGTTTAACGTTTCTTTCAAAGAATCCCAACATGTCTTGACTAACTGCTTGATGGAATGCCATTCCACTTCACCATAATCTTTTCTGTTGCCAATTATGTTTCGAATATCGTCCATGCAATTCTTCATTCCCTCTTCAATAACTTTCCAAAATTCCAACTGATTATTCGAGGTATGGGCTTTAAACCAATCTGTCTTGTTACTTTTAAAGCTCGTTAGATGTCTCATTGTCGAACAAATGAACGTAACATACGTGAATAATGCTGTCTGATCGTCAACAAATGTACACAGTTTATCTGAAATAGTTGATCGAGGAGGGATACCAGATGATCCTTTGTTGCGAAGACATACGTAAACCGTATAGACGCGCTCTGCTGCTGCCCATAACATTTTTGACTTTCCTATAGTCGATGCTTGCACCAGAGCTACCAATGGTGAATGATATTTTACTGTGTCCCATTTATTCAATGAATCGTTTATGTGATCAAGAAAGGTCTGAAGAACCCCATGTCTGTCGATATATGTTTGCTCATAAAAAGCGGCCTTGGTGGCTGTGCTGCCGTCAACGTCAAATATGAATTGTTTCGATTTACTGCTGGTCCTGCTGACTACTATATGAAAGCAGCAAAGAAAAACGCATACGTTATCAACGTTGCAAACAGCATATCAAGTTGTTATGGATGGATGAAAACAGATATACAGTGATAGGATAACATTCATTATGCTCTATTCTATTCTCCTCCCAGCGCGCGTATTGTAACGCATTCCAACTATTTTTCCTCCGTTGCTTCTACTCTACTTAACCCATACTGTTTCTTGTCTTCTTTGAAACGAGCTTATATATAACCCAACCTTTGCTACGACTCTGCTCTATGTCCCAACCCCAACACATGTAATGCATTTCAACTATCCTCCCAATAAATGTGTATTCATTGCTTGCTTACCTTGTTGTTCTTTAAGGTATTCCTGGTATGCCGCTCTGATCTCATCCTTGTTAGCATTTGGGTGGGTTTGTTGGTAGTCGTCAGCGAAGTCAAGCAGGTCCATGTTATCAAGTTAACTGTACGTTTGACTTTACCTAGACAGCAGAGCAAATCCACTTTTTCGCATTAAGCTAAAATCTTAATATTAAGCAGTTACGCCTGGTTAATATTAAGACTAGATTTATGGTTTTTTAGATAACGAATTGTAACTTTTTCAATCAGGCTATCTAAAGTGCTAGACGGCATTCTTCCTTGGCTGATTTTTTTGCGTTGAGCAATTCCTCCTTTTTCTAAACAGCCGCCAATCCTAATTTTAATTCCTTGGACTTCTTTTTCTGCAGCCACTTTTCTGAGAAAATCTTGTCGAAGCGATTGTCAAGCGACTCGAAGGTTTACTTATGAGAGTGTTTTCAACAGTATCGTCTTAATATCTCAAGGATTAAAGTATTAATAAAACGAACTTTGTATGAATCGAGTTACTATAGCTGAGTTGCCCACTCGAACCCCACTTAAATGGCTCGAGAACAACAAGATTAACGGTTTGCAGAATAATTTTTATAAAAAAAAAGGTAATACAGTCGACCTCCCATACAGTCACACTGTTGGGAATGACCAAAACCAGTGACTCTAAGGAGGGGTGACTGTATGG